ATTTCACTAAGGTTGATCAATGTTTTCACTAGTGTTTGTAAGAGGTTTTTCAGTTATGCATATGAATGTATTTCTCTAAGGTTGATCAGTGTTTTCACTCGTGTGTGTGTAAGGTTTTTCAGTAATGCGTATGAATGAATTTCACTAAGGTTGATCAATGTATTTCATTTCACTAGTTTGTAAGAGGCTTTTCAATAATTATGGCCTATACGGCCCCTCATAGTAAACAACATTTAACTAACCCACTAACAGAAACTAAATATTTAAAAAACTAAATAGAGACTGTGCTTGAGCAAAACTTTCTGCTTACTAAAGAGGTTGATGAAAATGAACAAAGCAGAACAAACATTCAGAGCTGCTACACTAAACAAAAGCTCTGTCAGTTTTACACAGATCAAAATCACAGTCCTAAGCATTGTATTTAAGACACTGAAAGGATTTAGTCAAACCAAAGGTCACACTTGAACATTTAGGATCTCTTAATCTGTGACGTAATGTGTGATAATACAAATAATCTGTGATAATACAGATAGTCTACTACAATACAGTGATAAAAAACAAGATTTGCACACATATGACACTTGACATTCTGTTGACCTCATGGTTTTAATATTTGACTTTTTAAGTCAAGAAAAAGAGCTGAAAGCCTCTGAGCTATCCTACCTCAGCTTTCTTCTTCAGCTGTAGTTTTGTGCTGATAATGTGCTCCACTTCCACTGTTCCTGAAAAAAGACATCAACACAGTTCCCTCATGAATGCTCACAACACAACTATACACAGATGGACACAGGTCATTCTGTGGCACTTGTGGTCACCATATCCTGGTTACCATACCACTAATCTTTAACTAATCCAACATAATACAAACAGAATACCAGCATTCGTTAAAGTGCAAACAGAAGAGACAGCGATTCATACAACACTTTTTTTAAAAGACTGTAGTACATTAACATACATAAGGACATTGACATCACAGAATTTCTCTAAAAAGCACTGAAAACTAATTGTATATGCACTAAGATGCCCTCAAAAAAAGTCACCACACGTATACATAAAAAAAGAACTAATTTCATTAGTCTGTAGGCTGCAGATATCGCAGTGTTTGCAGGCAGACAGATGAAGGCAGACGAATAAAGTTCCACACGACAAAGTTTAATAATAAATCCAAAAGGAGTGGTCAGACAGGAGTTAGCAAACACAAACATAACTGTGAACGGACAAAGAGTGACTGTGTGGGTATAAATATAAATACATAAAGCAGACACATAAGATGATTAATGAAACACAGAACTAATGATAATGGTGGCCATGGAAACTAAAGAGTGGCGGGAAATTAAAACAAAGGAAGGCACAAACTTAGGGAATTCAAACTAAAAGTCTTAGAACAGAACTAATTGAATATAATGGTGACATTACACCCCTCTCCAGAGAGGCACGACCTCGCGCCCAAACAAACAAACAGAGGGAGGGACAGAGGGTTTTGGAGGTGGATGAGGAGAGGGCAAAGGATTGATGACAGGCTGAAAAGCAGACAGAAATTGCCAAAAGATGAGAGGAGCAGTGACAATCGGTGGATGATGACGACGAGACCCCGGCGGCATGATGGAGGGACGAGGTGCAGCCGGAGGAGGGAAATTCTCTGGTGATGACGATTGACGACGGACGAGCAGGAGGGACGAGGGAGCCAGTGGGATGACGGGCCATGGTGGAGATGAGGGAGCTAGGAGCCAAGGTAGAGCCGATGGGTCGAAGGGCCCGAGGTGGAATCCAGGCCTCGGAGACCAGAGGCGGAGACAGGGGATCTTCACGCCAAGGTGGAGCTGGAGACTGAAAGACCCACAGCGAGAAGAGGCTCCAGGATGGCGCTGACTGAGGGTGAGCTGAGAGGCTTACAGGAACCAGCGAAGACAGGGCAAAAGAACTGGCAGATATATGGAGAGGAGGCGGGAGAGGGAGGCTGGGAGGGAACACAGGAGGCTCAGGAGATTCAGAAGATACTGAAAATTCAGAAGACTCAGGAGGAGCAGGGCTGAACGGAACCAGCGGCAAGACAGATGATTCAGGACAATCCAGGAAATAATCCACAACATTTCCAGAGGCCAGTGGTGGCTCACCCTCAGGGGTGGGAGTGTGGGCGGGGCTTCGATCCATCCCTTCATATTCCACTAATATCCCCTCAGGCACGTGCGGTGTTGCTGGCTCACACACCTGGTCAGCCGCATCGACAGCCTCTGGCTCCGGGGGCGATGGCAGGCGCAGTCGCTTCTCCTCGCGCTGGCTCGGGCTCTCCATCTGCGGTGGGCTCAGGCAGACCCTCCGTGCAGCTGGGTGGTAATGGCTGGCTGGGCTCTGGTTCGTGCTGTGTTTTGGATAGGGGGCGGACGCTCTCCAGACACCGAATGATCCAGCTCAGTGCCATGGAGTCTGGGAGGTCAATGGGTGATGGTAATTTGCCCCGATCCAGAACAGTGACTTCAGGGTCTCATCGTCAAAAGGGCAGGTGACGGCGAGAAGGTAGAAGTCCTTGGTGAAACTGAGAATGTCCGTATTTATTCGGGCAATCGCAGCGAATCGCGCACTACAATCCATTTTTATTGGTCCGGTTATCTGTCACAGTGTTTGCTGGCAGACAGATGAAGGCAAATGAATAAAGTTCCACACAACAAAGTTTAATAATAAATCCAAAAGGAGCGGGCAGACAGGTGTTAGCAAACACATACACATAACTGTGACCAGACAAAGAGTGACTGTGTGGGTATATATAACTAAACTGAATATAATGGTGACAGCAGGTTTTACCCAAATGAAGATACAATATTTACTATTCAATATAAATACAAATATGAATCCCCATTTAATCTTCGTAGAATTAAAGACTGAAAAAGAGTCATTTTCATTTAGGAAAGAGAGACTTTACATTAGCATTGATGGATACATATGTCAAAGGCAAAGCCCATAGCCAATGAATGGACTAGACTTAAATATATTACAATTCATTAATAGTTTTAAAATGCAGTAAAAAGAAAGACAGAGAGGAACGCAATGTCTTAATTAAAATCTATGGGAGATTATTAAGAGGTAATGAATTAATAGTAAGTGTACAACCTGATGACTTTTGACAAAATGGACTACAGTATATCCCACTGAAAAAAACCTAAAATGTGATATTTTATCAATTACATTTTCAAAATATAATTTTAAAAACCACTAACACTAACTCAAACGCTACACTGTGAAGCATCTTATGAAATTAACCTGAATCTATTTGGCAGTGAGGTTGCACAATGAAACACTACTCTAGCATTTTCAGTGTCATCATGTCTGAGTTAATGGGAATGACTGCATCATTGATAACAGTACTGGGCAGGACATGGCAATTTCTCAATCAGGTCACACGGCAAATCACATGGCAGTCTGTTCATAAGCCTAGAATTTAGCTTGATGGTTTCACTACCATGACATGAATGTGTCATGGCCATTGTTTCCTCATTCTTCTTTAAAAGGGTCATATGACATTGCTAAAAAGAACATTATTTTGTGTATTTGGTGTTATATGATTACACAGCTCAATTAAGACCTCAATACAAAAAAAGGTTATTATTGGTTATTATTTCAGTTATTATCTCAAATTAAAAACCTTTTACTTGAAGGAAAATTAACATTTAATTAATAATATACCTATTTTCTACCACATAAAATCAATTATATTTTTTTCCTCACTGAAAACTCCTAAACAGACCAGGCAAAGAAAAAAATTATCTTGTTGAGCCTGCAAATGAATAATATCAAAGGTATGTACTCTTTTGTATGACAGTGTCATACAAATGATGAGTTGTACAAGTTGTAACGTAATGTAAATAGTAAGGACACTGAGTGAAACATGTTGCAACTGATTCCAATGGGTGAGAGTTGAATGACCTACATTAGACCTAAGAAAAGAGGAACTCTGTCTATTCATTTGAATTTTAATGTGACTGTTTTGCCTCCACCTAATTTGAATACGCTGCACTTTTTTTGTTTAGTGATTCAGTCTCACCATTACTGGGGCAGGGCACCTCTCCTGTGGCTCTTTCGGCTCCTGTGCCATCCTGGTCTGAGGACGGAACCACCTTATGAGACCCCCTGCGACTGCGTGGGCCGCCAGCACCCTCATTCACCATCCTGCTGCTGAAAACCCAACACCAAGAGCAAATTTCATTCTTATGCATTGGAGTATAATTGAATTCATAGCAATTTAAAGTACACAATTCTAAGAATGTTAATCTTGATTGCATCAGTAAGATTATTTTTAATCTTACTGAAAAAAATATTATTTTTAATCTTACTAGTAAGATTTTAATTGAACTTTAAAAGTAGTCATTCTGACTAGTCATTGAATATAACAGACAAAACTGTAATTAGTGAGAAGATTTTTATTAGCAACTAAGAAATAAGCAAGGTTATCTAAGGAATAGTCTCCCTTGTGATACTAACTGGTATCAAAATAACCTGAATACAGTATTAGTCAGGCTAGATGAGTAGTTGATATCTGAACCACAGTAGGGCTGGGTAAAAAATATAGATATCTCGATATTAATCGATTCTCATTTTTACGGAACGATATCGATTCTTAAATCCCAAGAATCGATTAGTCTAGCCTGTTTTCAGTTAATGGACCGAACACTGAAGGGAACTTCCCATCCAATATATCGCAATAAGCATTGTACGTTGGTACTTTTCATATGAAACAAAGTCTCAGATTTCAAATTCTGACCATTGTATTGCAGTATTCAAACAATGAATGCCGTTTTGGCGCTGTTTAATGTGGAGTGACAGATCACTGTAGCGCCTCAGTTCAACAGACGCGGCAGCACGAGGCGCATGTGAACTAATCATCTCCTCCACATTAAAGGTGGGGTAAGCAATTTCTGGTAGCCAATGTTGACATTTGAAATCACCAAAACAAACATGCCCCTACCCCAAAAGGGTCTCGCCCCTATTTTGATAGCTCTGCCCCACATATACGTACGCAACCCAGGCAACGATTAGTTCTGTGAAACAAAGCAAAACCAATGTTACACTGTGTCTACACCGGACACGAGTGGCGCGGCGCAACAAAATACTATAGAACTCCGTCACGCCGGATCTGTTTCCTACGTTGTTGTGATTTGATCCGAACGGAAACAGCGTATCCGCATGGCGCAGCTGACACAGAACAGCATACGTTGTTTTACGTCCAGCGGATATTCTACAAAATGGCACCAGGGTGATGCGGAGGAGACGAATTGTTGAATAAAGTCTTTTTTTTTTTTCTTTTGTCACAAAAAGTATTCTCGTAGC